GAGAGGGAGAGACAGATAGAGAGGGGGAGAGAAAGAGAGACAGAAAGAGAGAAACAGAGAAAAACAGAGACAGAAAGAGACAGGGGGGGGAGAGAGGGAGAGAGAGACAGAGACAGAGAGAAGAGAGGGATAGAGCTACACCTAAACCATCCAGGAAGGCATTTTCTCTTGTGGGAAGAAAACACTTCCCTTTCTTCTCCTTTTTTTTCCCCCCAGCCTGCCTTTTAATGCGCCCTTTGCGCCATTCTCACAGCCACCTCTTCTGAGGTTGTCATCATGGCATCACTCAGGGCCCTCGTTATTACACATTCCTGATTAACTTGACAGGTTGACTCTAATGAGCAGATTGTTGTGACATCTGAAGCAGGGGCTGGGATCCAGGCACACAAGCCTATCGGGGGGACACACAACTCCCAGCCAGGGGATGAATGAATGAGCGAGGGAGCAAGCGAGCTTGAGCGCTCGCAGGCAGTGAACGCATTTAGGCAAAAACACACAACACCCAAGCTCAAAGCTCTCTTTTTCCGCCCCCACCTCCGTTCTCCCTAGCACTAGAAGGGAGAGAGCGACCCCACATGGACACAGAAGGGAATGGCTGGCACTTCAAGAGAAGGAGAAAGATTTAAGCGGGATGCGGTAGCCGGAAGGGGCAGCCTGCTGGACCACCCCCTGGACTTGGGTTTCAGAAGGGCAAAGGCCAACGGGGAGCAGCCATGAGCGCTTGGGTTTGATTGCTGTGGGCATTGCCAAGGGGTTCTGCTTCAAAGCAAGCAAAGAGAAGCTCCACCTTAGCTCGGGCAAAGGGATAATTCGAGAAAATGACTTGATTTGGGGCTCATCTTTTGGGAAGAGACCCAGGTAGGGTCTGTTTGCAGCAGGGCAACTTTTAAGACTTGAGACTTGAAGTCCACAAGTCTTCAAGTTGCCAAGCTTGGAGACCTCTGATTTATAGAATTGCAAAATTGGAAGGGACCCGTGGAGATCTTCCAGTCCAATCCCTTGGCTGAAGCAGGAAATTTTTGTACCACTCTGGACAAATGGCTGCCCAGTCTCTTTTTGAAAACCTCCAGGGATGGAGAACCCACAACTTTTGGAGGGAAATTTCTGTACAGTTTTAGGTTAGATCTCTCTTTGATAAGTAGAATGGAATAGAATAACAGAATTGGAAAGGACCTTGGAGGTCTTCTAGTCCAACCCCCTGCCTAGGCAGGAAACCCTACACCACTTCAGACAAATGGTTGTCCAATCTCTTCTTAAAAACTTCCAGTGTTGGAGCATTTACAACTCCTGGAGGCAAGTCGTTCCACTAATTAATTGTTCTAACTTTCAGGAACTTAATTCCAGGTTGCTTCTCTTCCTTGATTAGTTTCCATCCGTTGCTTCTTGTCCTGCCTTCAGGTGCTTTGGAGAATAGATTGACTCCCTCTTCTTCGTGGCATCTCCTCAAATATTGGAAGACAGCTATCAAGTCGTGCCTAGTCCTTCTCTCCGTTAGATTAGGCATACCTAGTTCGCAATTATTTATTCATTCGTTCATTCCGGCCTCTGGTTTGGCCAGCTCTCCATGAATTGCAGGGAAGGGCAAGTTCTTAATTTTGAACCAGAGCGTTGAGAGATCTGTCATAGTGAAGTTCATCTTATCATTTTGATTAGGTTTAGTATAGTTCTTTCTGCATATCTGATTGGGTGACTTGCCTGGAGCATACTAATGGAATGAAAATAAGTTTTAATAAATTAGTAGGCAAAGACGCACAGACATACACACATTCTGGAAGCTGGCTGTATAAATTATGCACTCATCCTTCGCATGCAGGCTGCATAAAATAAGGAAAATTGGACCTAACAATGGGGTGTCAGAAGCCACGGCCGGCAGCAAACAAGTCTAGTAATTTTAAGCAATATCTATCTATCTATCTATCTATCTATCTATCTATCTATCTATCTATCTATCTATCTTTGGTTATTCGGGTTTTCTCCCACGTAAAATTGAAGTATACTTCCAAAATTGAAGTATACTTCCAATTTTATGCGGTAGAAAACCCAAATAACCAAAGATCCACATACAAATACCCACGAAACCTCAGAAAACAAATATATGTATGTATGTATGTATGTATGTATGTGTGTGCATATATATATATATATATCCAAATAATTTCTCCATTAGCCTCACAACTGTTCTACTGCCAGAAGGATTGGGGGCTTTATTGGCAAAGCAAAATTGGTGGGGGGAGAATAAAGTTATTTAAACTCTAAGTAATCAACCATATTTTTAATCGATGGGTGGTAAGATCATGGCATCCGGCCCTCTCAATTCCTGGCAAATCGATGGGGATGAAATGGAGGTAGTGACAGGTTTTATTTTCCTGGGCTCCAAGATCACCGCAGATGGGGACTGCAGCCAAGAAATTAAAAGACGCTTGCTCCTGGGGAGGAAAGCTGTGGCTAATCTAGACAGCCTACTCAAAAGCAGAGACCTCACCCTGCCAACAAAAGTGCGTCTACTCGAGGCTGTGGTTTTCCCAGTTGCAATGTAAGGCTGTGAAAGCTGGACCATAAGGAAGGCTGAGCGCCAAAGAATGGAGGTTCTTTGGACTCTGGTGCTGGAGGAGAAGATTCCTGCGAGTCCCTTGGACTGCAAGGCCATCCAACCGGTCAGTCCTAGAGGAGATCCACCCTGACTGCTCTTTAGAAGGCCAGATCCTGAAGGTGAAACTCAAAGACTTTGGCCACCTCGTGAGAAGGAAGAAGGACTTGCTGAAGAAGAGCCTGATGCTGGGAACAATTGAGGGCCAAAGAAGGAGGAGGGGACGGCAGAGAAGGAGGGGGCTGGATGGAGTCCCTCAAGCAGTCGGTGTGAGCTTAAATGGACTCCAGAAGATCGTAGAGGACAGGAAGGCCTGGGGGAACGTTGTTCATGGGGTCATGTTGGGTTGGATATGACTTCGCAACTAACAACAACAACTCTTTTTTCCCAGTGCTGTTGAAACTTTGAACGTTTGCTAGATGAATGGTTACAAGTCCAGCATTACCTGTACATTCTGAGCCTTAAATAGAAGAATGATTTCAAAAGCTTTCTATGGCGTACAAATACTTTACAGTGATAGCAAGAGCAGTAGCCCTTAGACTTATATACCACTTCACAGTGGTTTACAGCCCTCTCTAAGTGGTTTATAGAGTCAGCCTCTTGCCCCCAATAATCTGGGTCCTCACTGTACCCACCTCGGAAGTATGGAAGGCTGAGTCAACCTTGAGTCGGGTGGGATTTGAACTGCCAAATGTAGGCAGCCGGCAGGCGGCAGAGGTAGCTTGCACTGCGCCACAGAGGCTCCTGATGAGTGATGCTAGTTACTCACAAGCGTTTAAACAAACAAACACAATGTCCTTTTGTAGAATTGTAGCAAATAGGTGGTACAGTGGCATGGATATTTTTTTTTCTTTAATCTCAGTCACAACTTTGCTCCAGGATCACACAACTTACCTCCTTCTACGATGCCAGCATTCAGGCCGTCTTTATTATCCGAGGTCACCAATAACTCCACCACGTTCCTGCTCAGAAGAGCCTGTGAGAAAGAAGAACGGCCATAGTGAAGTTCAGAGCTGACAGCCCAGAAGAAGCCAGGATCGGGAACAAACCACGGTTTGAAGGGAGCTACTCTTTCCGGGATTCAAGGGGACATTTTGACCCAGATGTCCCAAAGGGGCTTCTCCAGAACACAAACTCGGTTTTCTTGGGGGGTTTTGGGGGGTTTTTTTTTCTTGGAAAACGTTTTGTCTCTCATCCAAGAACCTTCTTCAGTTCTAAGTGAAGTTAAACCAAGAAAAAGTCCAGTTGCCTTTTGGAAGAGCAAAAGTCTGGGACAACCATGAGATGATTGCGAATCCCCATAATCATCCTGACCCAGATGTTGCAAGGATCAAGAGAAGCTGAAAAACATCAAGATATTTCTGATATTAGCGCTGATCAATATAGAGGTTTCATGATTTCCTGCCCATTGTTACAGACTGCCTCCTGTCCATCCTCTTTAATGTTAATTATAGAAACATTTCCACCAGGTGAGGAATGGAGACGTAGCTGGAACAGGACTTGCCAAGCCGAAACTGATCGACTCCCAGCACCTGCCTGCCCAGGAGGCAGGTGGCAACTTGCCAAGTTCTCTTTGCTGGGTTGAGATGACAGCAGGAGACCTTAAATCAAATTAGCTGCCCTTCTGCCTGAGCTCTGGATTACTGGGTTATACCAGGCAGCTTTGGTCTGGTTTGCAAAAAATAATCTACGGCAAAGGAGGCTCCGCGTCTTTTACTACGGGGGCCAAAGTGTGTCGGCCGACATAACAGACGTACTTGAAACCCAAGAATACACTGAGGCAGGAGCTGGCCCGCCCCAAGGATAAAACACCCAGACACAAAGTGAGCAAGGTGGTCGTTGCAGCGCCATGTGAGTGAGCCACGTGCAGATCTTAGATTGGGGAAACAAAACAGCCGCTTCATAAACACATGGCGCAACACTGGAGAACAAACAGACCAGGATTAAATTCAGCAGTCCACCTGCATCTAAAAGATACCGGCCACTCTTTTGAAGACAGCAAAGTCCACATTTTGGACAGAGAGGACCTCTGGTTTGAAAGAGGGGTCAAAGAGGCCATCTATGTCCACACTGAACAGCTCTCTGTCAACAGAGGGGGAGGGTTATGGCATCTTCTATCTCCGGTCTACAATGAAGGCTCCACGCTCATTTGCACCACTCAGGTAACCCTGAGGACACAGACAAACCTCCAGGTGACTTTAAGGACCCTCTAAAAGGATGCAGATGTCCAGCTGTCTGCAAGGAGCATAAACCCTTCCATTCCCCACCATCCATCCAGAGCTTCTTGGATGAGAAGCAAAACGTCTTCCAAGAAAAAGTCCAGTTGCCTCCTGAAAAAAGCACCTTTGGAACTACCGTGAACTGGATGACGGAGAATCTCCATAGGCAACACCCCTGTCTGCTATCAAAAGTTGCTGGACAGTGAGATGGACGACATATAAATTTAAAGAATTAATAAATCCAGAGGCAGTGAAAGTTTCAACACTGGAAGTTTTTAAAAGGATGTTGAATAAACATTTGTCTGAAGTAGTGGAAGGTCTCCTGCCTCGGCAGGGGGTTGGACTAGAAGACCTCCAAGGTCCCTT